TATATACATATGTATATATATATATATACATATGTATATATATATCAACCATGTCACCTGTCGTCGCGTTGATCGTTGAGTAACTCTAGCGGGCACCAATAAACCTTCCATTTTACCCACTGCGTGCAAGAGTAGCCCAGTGGGTTCTACTCGCTCTAGGGAGACTCGTTGAGCACCATATCTTTCTTTCAGGGTTTTCGTAAAGAACTCTAGCCATTGGGTCGTTGATCTACCTGCAGTACGTTTTACATACCGAGGAATTCATTCGCTAGCAGCCTCTTGTCCATTATTTGTCGCTGCACAAATATTAGGGCAAGAAAAGCCATGAAGTCCAAAAGGTGGGCACAGAGTCGGATATTCCTTGCTCTATTCACTATAGCCTCTATCCACTCAAAAGATCCCCTAGCCGTTCTCTTTCTCCTGCTCGTCGCTGGAGTTAGGTCGTTCAACACGTTGACTTTCCGACCTAGATAGATAGGAACTGAAGCATTAGCAGACATTCATTCCATTGAGCTTGAGTGGGGCATAAGAAGCCAATCCGTTGCTAATGAACGTTGTTTCTGTGAGATATAGTCGAAGACCAATGTTTCCACAGGCGTTATCATGATTTCTAGCATTCGTTGTACCTGACTAATTCTTGGTGTTATAAAAACGATGTGATCAGCAAAACGAAGATGGTGTAACTACCCACCATCGATATTCACTTCATTATTACTGCATTTCAGTGTTCGCATGACGTTCTCGAGAGCGGTGGTATATAATTTTCGCTCTGTGTTATCGCCGTGTTTAACTCCTCTACTGGAGTCTATGTTGACATTGTTGTACAACGGCTATATTTTCGTTGTGAAAATTTTGTATAGTTCACGAAGGGTCCTTTATATGTTGAGTAAAGACTCGCCTGGCTGTTCAAGGCCTCTGTGACCGCTTCTGTCACGAATGTATTAAAAACTTTCTTTAAATCGATGAACATGAGGGAGTGCGGCCTCTTCCACACTCGCTACACCTCCGTGAGCCCTGTAATCTGGTGGATGTGGTCCATTAAATCTTTCTCGAAACCCTGAATGCTTGCTCTTCTTCGTACAGTGTTCAGTCAGTCCTCTCTTTAAGACGACTCCGAATGGAAAGGTTGCAGAGGACAAACAGTAAGCAGAATATGGCATGTCAGATTTTGAAACGGAGGAGTGGAGCTGCATGTAAATCCTCACTATTGCCATATGAGGTCGAGAGGACGTAGCTATTGAAGGGATCCGAGTAGTAATCGTCAGTTATTTTCTCCATTGCCGTTCTGAAAGGTCTAACTGTTCCATCTGGCCATTGTAGTGTAATCGTCTTGGTTTAGTAATTGGCGAAGCTTCAATGGGCTTTGTAAATGTTTTTCTCAGTCTCTGCATAAACGATATCTGTTCCTCTTCTTTCTTTAAATCCTTCTGCTATCGTCTGTCTGCATTGTTTTACAAGTTCGGACGTGAGTTAGCATTAGCCTCAAGCTTGTGCGATTCCATGCTGGCCTATTAGCACGAGGGTTTCAGGAGGTAGATTTCTCTTCGTGGCATTCAAATCTCAGCTTTTATTGGGTTAACATAAGGATGTTGAATGAGCCGTTCGCATTTTTCGTCGATGTTATAAAGAATGGCATATTCCCAACAGCCAACTGTTAAAATGAATAAATCCCATTTTATGAGGGTATTGGGAATTCTTCGAATTTAGCGGCTTTTCTCCTTTCCCGCGAGAAATGAAATCTTGCAGTAAGGAGGCGATGGTCTGGCCCGGTGTAGAATTCTGGGAAAATTCTGATTTCGGTTAGGCAAAACCTTCCTTTTACTACGATGTGGTCGTTATGGTACTATCCACTTTGGGACTTTCACGTTCGGCGTTACAATGAATGGTCCTGGTCGTTATGATAAACTCAGACAACCGCTCACGCGACCTACATTCTAATTCGTGGGTACAAATGCGACGTTCTTCTGGGTCCAGCCTTAGAGTTTAGTCTTCAAATGCTGAACTTAAACACTGTGTGGTCTTCTCCGTATTCCTTCTCGAACTCCATATAGAACGCTTTGAGTTCGTCTTCATCATAGCTTGATATCGCTTTGTAAACGACGAAAGTTGTTGAAGCTGGTATAGATCCACATTTCTTCAATCGTAAACATCTAATTCGGGTTATTAGTTCTTCAAAAGATCCAACTTCAAACAGCCAGACTCGTGCTGAAGAGAACTCCGACGCCGCTAACTCCTGTACTGTAGCATGTTCCGAGGAACAGTTCTTCTCCAGTGTTATAGACGGCGTTGAATGGGTCGTTTCTTCTCATCTCAGATAGGTCGACGACATCGTACCTTATGCCTTATGCTTACATTATCAGGTCACCTATCCACGACTCAAATGCAGGTGAGCGTGTATTGTAGGTAAGGAACGTCACCTTAGCCCTTTGCAATTATGCAGTCTAGAATAGCGCAACGATTTTAGCATCTTTTCCGGACTAGTACTACCCACGCTACACATATTAGCAGCTCTTTCAGGGCCATTGTTAAGAGGCCGACTTATTTTAGCGTGTTGATCGCTTAATGCCCACGTATATGCCAGTCCTTCCAAATGTAGACTGGAAACGTCATGTATTTTATTATTACTTTTATTATTATTATTACTTATTAGCATGTCGAAATACTTTTTATCCATATCGAGGTTTAATGAAAGTCAGAATTAAAAATTTCAGATAATTGTGCTCAGTTTTTAGATGAAGGTAACGATCATATTTGTCCTCACATGTGTAATATGTAATGCATGTGCCTTGAGCACATTTAAGCACGCACAGCGTAGTGCATTCGGCACTGACTGGAGAGAGGCCTGGTACCAATTTGAAGACTCTGGAAAGATGGAAGCCTTAGTGAGCCCGAGACACATGATTGAACCAACGACCACGTTTCCAATGCTGGACACCACTAACCGCGCCCATTTAAAGTATGAGACAGATTTCAGTAGAGCGACTTTCTAAATGTTGTCGTGGCACAAAGCGGTTCATAACGTTTTGCACGGATAGTGGAGAATGCAGTGAGCATAAATCCGTTCATTTTGCAGAGGACGAAACTTAACCAAGCGATGCTTCAACCACGTCTTCAACCAAAAAAACCAAGCGTCTCTTTTACGCGGGAGCGAGAAAATGCAACAAAATCAATCCAAGTGGCAATGTCCCAGCACGACTATCTCAGAATTCCGTGAGGCATCAGTCGGCCAGCATTCAAAGACATTCGTGAAGAAAACAAAAAAAATCCTCAAGCAGCAGCAAAAGCAATAGCAATGTTTCGAAGACCTTCATGAATGAGGGATGCGAGGAAGCGAATCAAATGCAAGAAGTGCTGGGTTCCGAACAATACGATACATATAATATTGGGTCACACGAGTTCCACACGTAACACCCCGGCTCTGACGAAGGCGAGGTCGCCGAAACGTCAGCCATCGATCAATAACATCAAAAACGACGACAACGAAGACCTGTGCCAACCTCGCGTCGGCTTTAGAAGATCAGTTTATAAGATCACAGAAATAAATATATCAACTATCTATGCCGCGATATATAGAAAGTCGGTCTTTCGAGTTAATATTGGGTCATATGATCAATAACAATATTATTAAATGATTTTGCCTGTTTGGCACTGAGAGCTGCCTTTTAGGTAAAAAAATGTGTTAAAGATAAACTAGGTTAACTAAGTTTTCGCGCTTTGGAGTCGTTTTCCCTTCAATAGATGCGCTAGGACTGAGCTTCTTAAACGTAATATAGAGGAAAACTTTGAATTTCTGGTTTGCATATCGGTTTACTACATACACCAATTACGATCCCGAGATAAATCCGGTGTTTTCTCACCGAACGTTTGAATAAACTGAATTTCAAACGTGGATTTTCTGAACTACAGCATTGCACCTCCACATGTTCAGGTAACGGATGCATCGAAGTCGATGAATTCCTTCAGGCCTTCCGGAAACACATGTTAAACCCTCGTGAAGAGCGTGAATTGCGAGAAGTGTTCGGAGTACGTTCCTCATTCTGTAAATTAATAAAGATACAGTACTTTTTCATTGCAGTACATAAATAGTTTGTTTACACCTCCAACATTTAGCACTAATATTCCAAAGACTCGAGAAAAAAAATAAAGTTTCAGAAAGCCCTCGCTTTCTGCTTTCGAAGCTGTGAAATTGTTTCTCAGATTCGATTCTGTGAAGTTCTCCAATAGTACTCTTAGATGGGAGCGTGTGGCGCAGTGGTTGAAGACACCATTGCGGCACACATGTGGAATCGATCCGCCGCGCCAATGGCCCATCAAGCCATCCATCCCTCCGGGGTCAGCAAATTAATACCGTGTCTGGGAGGATAGCAGCACTGTCTCGATACATCGGTGTGCCACCGCGAGTCATTGTAAAGGCCAGATATGCATTCAATCACCTCCAACGATGCTTAATGAAGTCGAATGCATGGCGCATCCCTCAGGGATTGATCAACGCTGAGAGTTTTATCCTTTTATCCTTACTCTAAGATGAACGACAAAGGAATATGTAATATGTAATAAATGAAATAATGAGTAGTAAGCCACGTAGAAATAAGTGAAAAGTCCAATTGCGGCTCTTAGCACGAAGGTCGGCTATGATTCCTTTCCGCTATATTATACGTTCTTCATGCTCATAATCACTGGTCGAACCTCAGTAGAAAAAGTCCGGAGTGGTTGTTTTTTGTTATATTTGATATATATATTATATTATATTATATTATATATTTATTTTGTGTTTTTTTTTGTTGTTCATCAGCTTCTATATTATTTTGAGATCTGACATGGTCGAAACGGAAAACATTGCAGTAGAATTTTCCCGTCGTGAACACACCATTGCGAGTGTTAGTAGTAATTTATGTACATCTCTACGCTAGTTCATTAAAGCGATTATTGTTTGGGCCAACTCAAATACTTTTTCTGAAGTACTTATCCATATAGGAAGCGTGGCCTGAGATTATCATCGGTTGGAGGAGTAGTGCTGCTGGCATTAGCCAGGCAAAATCTTGGCGCTCAAAGATAAGGGAACAGAACTTTAAAAAAAAACTAGTCTATATTGCACCAGTTTGGATCAACAACTGATGTTGACATCGGAAATGTCAGAGTCGTTATGTTCGACTTGTAAGAATTTGCTTACGCTTTTCTAGAAATGAATTTTCGTGGTAGAGCGATGTTGTGGGCATCAATCAATAACACTATTTCACCTCCTTTTGGACTTCCATTGCAAAATCTTCGCTTCTATGCACGGCGTCACACCCCATTCTCATTTTGGCATTAAAATATCAGAGAAAAAATTTTGGTGTCGTGAGCCACTTCCTTCAACTAAATGTAAATCGCCATTGGATACTCCGTTTCTGCACAGGTTGGTGAGCAACAATTGATGATAGTGGTCGAAATTTGACGCAAAGTTTGGTAACAAAAGTGGGCAGCCGAGGTGACAATGTCTCAAATGTGTAGGCGAGATGGGCATACGTTGGACGAAAATACGGCATCAGTTGAATGGAGTACGTGGTTTTTCTTCTTTTTGTGAGATTTAATGTTAACTGCGGCCTCTTCAAATGCATGATGATCGACGTCAAAAGGAGCTAGTAAGAAGTACGGCAACAAACATTCTCCATAGTTGTCCAAGACGCACTGTTTTGATCCTGTTTCAGATCTATTCGAACTAATCTGATGTCGTGAACGGGAGAAGTTAGTGTTTGGGAGATGAAGCTACGGTCACGCCAGTTGAGCAATTTGATTTTACCCTGGAGTATAGTTACGGTTTTCTCGAGTTTTCAGCAAGAAGCAGTTGCCAACTCTCCTAAACTTCAGGAGAGTTAACTCTACCGTTACCGTGATATGTCGAATTTTTCTCAGCTCGAGTTTCTTTAACGATCAAATGAACTAGGTGCTCTAGATGAGCGGCTAAGACTTTTTATCTCTTGATTTCACGACTAAGTAATAAATCGCTGAGGTCGAGAGGTGTAAATGTGTAAAAAATGTGTAAAGATAACAGTTTGCAATTCATAACTCGGCAAGAACACAATATTTAGCTGCAAATAACGGCATAAATAGCAAGTAAATGGTATGCCACATTAACGCTGCGGTGCTAGTTAACAGTGATTTTTCGTTTACCGATATATTTCGTTCCAGTGGTACAAAAAAGCTAGAGAATTTAGAGCCTACAAAAATAAGGAATCTATGACGCTGAGATATTCGCATAACTCCGGAACGCAGGTGTGTGCGGTAGGGAACGAACGCGCTACTACCATTTCCAGAGGCTAACGCGTTCACCAATACACCATGCGGGTCCCTCATTTCGCCTATCTCTCAGCTAGTTCTAACGATCACTACCGTCAGCAACTACCCGTCAGCGGGATTGATCTACGGAGCCCAAATCGGCAATGAGCCCTAGTTAAGCTGAGGTTGTAGTTATAATCGCAATCTTAATCTTTTCATTTACTTCCCATTCCTTTTAATGGCAAGATATGTTGCGAAATATAACTTCCATGATGCTGAGATATTTTCTGATGGCAGTGATCGACAGAACTGGAGAGACAGGCGAAACGAAGGACCCGCATTGTGCGGTGGTGAACACATTACTCCCCAGAAAGGACAATAGCGCGTTCGTTCCCCACCGCATACACCTGTGGTTCGGAGTTTTGCAAATATCTCAGCATTGTACGAGTTATATTTCGCAACATACCATGCTATTAAAAAGAATAGGCAGTAAATAAAAAGGTTAAGAGCATATTTCTTCAGAAGAGATCTGAAGTTGCCAAAACTCAGAAAAATGAGGAAGATTCTGGATTTCAGGTATTTGACAGGAACGGCGATGGCTTGATTTCGGCAGAAGATTTGCTTATGGTGATGCATTCACTGGGAATGAAACTCAACGAATCCGATGCCAATGATATGATACGGGAAGGAGATGTCGACCACGACGGGATGATAAGTTTCCACGGTAAGAGTTATGCCAGAGTGATAGAAATGTGAGTCTATCAACTCAACCCTCTTTTTTATGAACGCATTATCTTCAATAATATATTCCCTAATGACGGGCTACGACATAATTCCTATGCGAAAATATAAGCCATGTTCCATATTTAATTTGAAATGGTCAGAAAAAAATGTTTAAATCTTTCAAAGCTCTTCTTAGAAAGGCCATATATATATATATATATATATATATATATATGTACATGTATATATGTGCATATATATATATCTGTACATGTATATACGCGTATATATATATATATATACATGTTATATACATCTGTATATATATATATATTTATTTATTGGGAAGAGCGGATAGCGCAGTGGTTTGTGATGCAGTCCAGCAGAAAGCAAGTCCATCGACACCCTCCTCAACGTTCTCCTTTAATCCACGTGAGAAAGCTTTAACTCGGTCATCTCCAAGATTGCAAAGAGAATCGACTGGGCCAGCATTCTACGGCACTCATAAAGAAGATGAAACCATCAACCAGCAGCCGAGACAGCATGCGAAATGTTCGAAAACTTTTATAGACGATGAATGCCAGATAAAAGGAAACGAATGCAAAAAGTAATGGGATTCGCACAACAAGTCTTTTGACGAGTCCTGTAAAATAAATAATAAAAATAATAGATTATCAGGAAAAAATAAATTTCTAGCCATGTTTTCATTATACCGTCGATTTAAAACAAATAGCAACAGCATTTATTCTCATCACCGTACTTCCTTTCCTTTACTGAAGATAATTCTATTGAATTAAGCTATGCTTTAGAGTTATCAACAGTTGAACGGTTCCGGACATCTGAGACATAAAATCGAACTCCATTCAAGAAAACTGATAAAGTTTTGAGAGACAGATTTACTTAAGTAGACCATCGAGTTGAACCTTTTCCTAAAAGGGATCTCTAGCATACATACTGAGAACATTGTTGACCTGAACAAAACATAGATCGATCATACGTGATTTCCAACGGGCATCTATCTGGACAGGAATGGATCGCTGGTAAAAAATAGGAAGGAAGAAGTCACAGTTGGGCTCCAAACAATCAAACAACAACAACGAAACTAGAAAAGAGAAAGAAGGTTCTGTAGGCCCACCATCAGCTTCAAGAATACTTTTATAACAGTGCTACTCGTTAACAAGCGACGTTGCAACGTCTTAATTAGGAACTAAGTTCATCGCTGGGAGACGTTGAAAATACTTCCTGTCATCACCAATCAAACACACCGAGTTCTCGTTTTCTTGTGAAGATTCCAGTCTGGATGGTCACCAGATATTCCTCATGGATAAGTTAGTGCTCCTGCTTACACTTTAAATCATAAGATAATCCCATCACTCAGCGTAATCTTAATGGAGACTTTCTACTAATTGGCAACCTGTTAGCTACCATTTGCATACAGTATCAACAGTGTGTACTGCATACATTCCATATGAATGAATCCCCGAAAACAAAGATACGAGATCTTATTCTAAACACAACGATAATCCTGAAAAACCTTCGATCGTATTACTTAAAGCTTGTGAGTAAACGTTTGTATAGCGTACCTACCTCAGTCAAACGTGCGTAGATCCTCAAAAGCCAAAGACCGTAGGCCATGAATTTCAAAAGAGCAAGTGAAATCTGCTACAACTAATTCCTTATCACACTTTTGGTTCAAGAGCTTGGAAAAATTCCTTGCTTCATTTTTCATTCTCACAAAATCAATTTTTCAGAGTTCATTATGCTCATCAAAGGAAGGTCATGAATTTGGATCGATACTCCATGATTTGACAATTCTGTTCAGCCTTTTTCTTCCGCTCCCTTTCAAGAAGCTTATAAGAAGAAGCTATACATAGCGTGAAAATTGTGTTAACGAAATTCTGGATATCAGACGAAATAAATTTTGTATTAGCTGACTTTTTGAACTTCTTCCTGTCCGTTTTAATGTCGTGTTTCTTCGACCCTTACATATTTGTCCGATCTTAATGCGTCTTATTAATAATTACCAAATTTCTGACTTTAATCTCATTCTACATTCCACGCGTTTAGGGACGTGTGTAGTGCAGTGGTCGAAGGCGCTCTGCGATGCACGTGGGATCGATCCCTTGCACCACGCTCACCAGGCCCTCCGTCCCTCTGGGATGGGCAAATTGGTACCTGACTTGTCTGAGAGGATAGTTGCACTGGCTCAACGCATTGGTAGTAGCCCACCATTAGTCTATGTGCAGGCCAGATATGCACTCAATCACCTCCATTGATGGTTTATGAAGACGGATGTATGGTGCAACCCTCATAGATTGATCAACGCCGCGAGTTTTATACTTTGCTATCCACATTTCAACATGACTTATTTACCAACTCCTAGCCAGCCTTGATTTGTTCTATTAAAAAATGAAAACATGATGGTACATGATTAATAAAGGAGGTAAAGCCCATAGCGATTAGTACGAAAAGGTTGGCCCACTCTTTTTCGTAATTCTCATCCAAAAATCGCAGCTGATACATATGCTCACGTTCATAAACTTTGTAGCTGATTACAAAGAAGGATGTGTATAGCACACTGATTATGAGCGCTTTATAATACATCTGTCGACCCTTAATCCGACGCCGGTCGCGGAGCTCCCAGCCCAGCTCCATTTCTATGTGATCTGCGATGTTTTGCCATACTTGGCCGATAAAATAAAAACACCAACTCAATAGCTTAACTTTTACTTACTGTCTTTTCTTTTCCATGGCAGCGTAATATGTGAAATACAGCCACAAGCATGTTGAGGTATGAGCAAAACTTCGGCACCACAAGAGGACTTCGTACCTTCGATTATCCTTACGGAGAACTCGTGTACTATCCACCACTCCAACCGACGCCTTTGCATTGCCTTTCTTTCAACCATTTTTGATAAAAAGTGGTGCCTGCTGAAATTGACCCGATATTCCAATCTTATGAATCGCTTTTTTTAGCTCACGTGGAGTCGTTACTAGGTGTTCTTGAAACTTGACGGCCGAAGCGATGCATCACTGGCTGTCACAAGTCATTGTGTAGACTGGATACACATTCGACCACTTTTACAACGCTTGATGAAATTGGAAACTCCAAAACTTGGGTAATAAAACCCTAGTGTGAATGATAGAATAAGGCAGTATTAATGCATCGACGACAAAATTCCCGCACTAACACGTGAAAGGTTGTATGAGGATAGGAACAGTTATGGGTAGGGTGGGTGCGGTTACTGTAGAAAAGGTTGCAGTGGTAAAGATTTTGATGAACAAATAACGTGTACTACGGTATGAGAAGAACTCTGAATGTTACGCAGTAAGTTAGAGGAACTATGAATGGTATTTAACTAATGGAACAAGCGTCTAGGTGATATGGATAATACGACATTGCATTGATGGTACAGTAAGCTTAAAATAACGTTATATATTTGACACATTCGAAGAGCGTAACTAGTGAATTTTGTTTCATGGAACAATATGAAAGGGTATGGTTAATGGTCGAACCGTAACACATCACGAACTAGTAGTTGAAGTGAGGATTGTAAGGCCGGTCTGTAAGTGGGCAACGGAGACGACTTTCACAGCTGCTGACGACTACTGAGTGCTGACTAAAGAGCCTAGCCTGTTATCATGGACGAGCTTCTAGCCGATATTTTTCGAAGTAAAGTCGCTACAGTAATTTCTGGCCAGCTGCGATGTGAAGTGAACATCTGCGCCGGCTGGACGGTGACTCAAGTGATGACTTGTTGTAATTCTACATCCGAAGCTAGGAATGCTGTCGGTGACAATATCCAAAATAACATCTATCCAAAAGATTAGTTGTTACAAATTCTGTGCTAAAATGGTATATAATTTGGCAAAATATTTATCCGTCAGTAGTGAGCTCCTCACTTCAATTAGAGTGTTTTTGACTTTGGATGTTTTATAACAGTAGTGGGTGGATAACCATGAAATGCGTAAGGATGCACATCATAATGGCAGTCTTGATGATTTTCGGAACAGCTCCACCAAAAATAACTCTCAGGCCATCCTCTCAGCATACAGAATCTATGTTGAAATTATTAAGAATTCGAAACAACACTGGAATGTTATTGCTTTCGAAATATTTCCCACACTCACCAGTATATAAAGACTATTTCCTATCTCTTTCTAGAGAATGCTTCATCTCATCACGCGTTCATACAGTTCCCACCATGTTCTGCACTGCTGTCTGTCTACAACGCCACGACGACCTTGGACCTTTTCAACCCAGTCTGAGCATGTGCAGCTTCACTCCATTCGCCTAGGAAGCCTTCCGACTGTCTTCATCTGTGTTTTGCTACTCTACTGCTTAAAGTATACTGTTGTTGTTTAACTATATATTCGCATAAACAGTATTTGTATGATGTCTCTCTCTCTAATGACAGGGCATCATATGTTCTTTGCAAAATCCTTTACGTTATCCTTACTGCAACTCCACGCTGGTGCTTCTCTCTGCTCGCTACGTCATTGTATACGCTGCATGCGCTACTGTTGATTTCGCTGGGTTTTCCATTGATGTGTTAATATTATTTATATAGAATTTTGATTAGGTTTAACTGCAGACACCCACAAAATGTGAAGACGAATCATGTAAATCTTTTTTCCAGAATAGTCCAAATTTTCTAAGGACTCATCATAACTGGGAGACACACCTCTGAATCCGTGAGGGAAAACACGGTTTTCCAAAATGAGCACAAATCTAACATTTCTAAGGAGAAACCCAGCAAACTTGAAACTTATGCAAAGCAGAGCTCGGCGTGGTAACTGTGACTACCTCCTTGCTAAGAAAGGGAAGCCAAAATGCAGTATGTTAAAAGTGTGCCAAGCTCAACTACCTTATCTTGTGCACGAAATCGAAGCCTCCAGGAAACGAGGTACATGAGAACTAGCTATAAGTATGCCCAATGCGTTTAGTGCAATCAATATTTCCAGATATACGCGTGAGTTGTTAATATATAATGCCTGGAGACTATTTTTTACCAAGTGACAGTAATTTCCCAATCAATAATAAACATAAGAGGCGAAAGTTTAGCAAATTTGCAGAAGAGATTTCGAAAAAAGAAAAGAAAAAGACTAGGTGAACAATTCTCTTGATGTTTTCTACCTATTTCAAACTTCTAAGTTACAGGTAACACAGCGGTAGTGCTGTTGATCATTACACGCACAGTGATGGTTGAACTCCGCATTTTAAACCCACCAAGCCTCTCATCCTTCTGGAATCGGCAAATTCGTACCAGACTTGTCTGGGAGGATAGCAGCCCTGGCTCGATAAATCGGTAGGCCACTGCGCATCATTGTAAAGGCCAGATATGCATTCAATCACCTCCAAACGATGCCTAATGAACTCGAATGCATGGCGCATCTCTCAAGGATTGATCAACACCGAGAGATTATTTATCCTTTTCCGTCCAAGAGTCCTTTTTCTGGTTCTTGGTAGTTCAAAAATAGTCATATGGATAACAAAAAATTACATCTAACTAGGTACAACTCTTCAAGCAGAGTCCTCCTAAAATAGAAAAAAACAAACCTGAGCGCTGACACAGGGTTTGAAATAACTAAAAACTTTAGTCCAAAATAATAAATGGCATGGAGACCATAAAACTTTATTTGTTATAAGGCTGTTGAAAACATTGGCTGTAGTAAAAGTACACGTATTGTTGTCGTCACCTGAGTAAACATGGGGCGGTGAAAGATATCACTTTTTAAAATATGTGAGCAAAAAAACAAAGAAAAACTAGATAAGCGATAGATAAAACTTCTCTACCAATAATCTTTTCAACATGAAGGTATAACACCATGAAATAAAGAACCTGCATGAGGACGGGACACGTGAAAGACAAAGGATCTATACAAATATATCAAATTGAGTGAAATTTCGTAAGGAATTCGAGGCTAACTCTGAGAATTATTGTGCGCAGATGGTGCTAGGAACTCCGAAATGCTTCTGTGATCGCGAATACTCATCTTGTGATATTTGGAAAGGTGTACTGCAAACCTCGACCGCGCTGAGAAGGAAATACCACAACTACGACAGCTATATGGCTTGATACCTGAAACAAACGCTATGGGGAAGAATTAGAGCTCAGAACAAAATTTGCTAAGCAGAAAATAGAAGTTGTAAGTAACGCAGGATGATCTTAACTCTTTTATTTACTGCCTTTTTCTTCTTAATGGCAGGTTATGTTTCGAATTATAACTCGTATGAAATGCTGAGATATTTGCAAAACTCCGGACCACAGGTGTATGCAGTGTAGTGGTGGTGTAGTGGTGAAGTGCGCTGCTCCCCGGTAAGGACAACAGCGCGTGTTCGTTCTCCACTGCATACACCTGTGCTCCGGAGTTTTGCAAATCTCTCAGCATTTCATACGAGTTATAACGCAGGATGAGTTTTACAATGCAAGTGTGCGGGTTGTAATAAGCGAATTACGGTGGAGTAGTTCGAAGTCAAATCCAAAAAACAGGCCTAACGTCTACCACGGATGCGAGAAATAGAATACTCCATGCTTCCATCGCTGCGCAATACACGATATCAAAAACATCTATAAAAAGAACTTATGTCACTGATCTTAGAAAACGCAAAATATGGAACACTTAAGTAGGATCAGCACACGAAACGTCAAAATACCAGTCATTTTAGCCCACAAGAATTTGGAAGGACTACGGTGACGCTATATAAATAAAACGCATGCACCTTAGTATAGAGTAACCTCAATGAGAATTTCAAGTAGGAACAAACGATAGCAAAGACGAGGTCATCACAGAAGAACAGAAGACACTGTAGACACATTTCTGATGAAGCAAAAGAATTGGTGTTCGGGAAACTTAACTGTGTAGTATTTGTTAAACTTAGTGTATTCGTGGCGCAGTGCCCGGAGGCGCGCCGCAACACATGGGGTCGATTCCCACGCTCTGGCCCACCAAACCCTTCAACCGTCTGGGATCGGCAAACTCGTACCACATTTGTCTAGGAGGAAAGCAGCTCTGGGTATAGTACATCGGTAGGTCACCGCAAGTCATTGTAAAGGCCAGCCAGATATGCATCCAATTATCTTCAAACGATGCTCAATGAAGTCGAATGCATGGCGCATCCTTAAGGGAATGATTAACGAAGAAAGCTTTAGCTTTAGCTTTAGTGCATTCGCCAACACAATGTTGCCCACGAATATTGGTTCCACTGAGTAACTGAAGACCCGAGGCGCACGTTTATGGAAGAGAAATATGGAATAATACCGATCTACACAGCTCTCATATTATATGGTCAAACATAGAGCAAGAATAAAGAATGTGTAAAAGGAATCTGTATGGAGATCGAGAACTTCAACAGTGTCCTCATACATTTGAAAAATCTCACCAAAAACAGCTTCAAAGCCAAGACTGCAGCCAGATGAACACATAAGGAATTTATAGAAGCCATACTTTTCAACATTGGACGTAACGAACATAGCATAATTCAACGGCTTTGGCGAAATTCGTATTATCGCGGGAAAGAGAAAGCCATAAAGGTCAAGGAACTAAATCTCATAGCAATCATAAATTCGGATATATTCACATTTTTAGCCTTCCTTTGATAGGATGCCTTTATTCATAAGATAGCTGAGGAGTATTATCCATCAAACACCTTAAAGGCATTGTTAAGGAATTTGAAACGTGGAGCCGTACAGACAAGTACCAAATTACGTCCGAAAATCCAAAGTTCTACGAAAGTAGTGAGCACCAGTGCTTGCTGAAGGTAGAGACAGCGGAACAGATTCATGACAGTTACTGAGACATTAGTAGAGAAGACAAGTGGAAACCTACGCGGCTTCGAAAACTCTCCTTCTATTTACTTGCTGACAGTTGTCTACAAGCTCTTTGCTCGATTCATTCTGAACAAGATCCACTAAATAGTGAACATAACGCATCCGTGAGAACAAATAGAGTTGGAGAAGGGTCAACGTGATAGAGCTAAATGTCTATTTAGGACCACTCTTAAATAACTGCTACTAAGAAAAACAACCTTTATGAGAATTCAGATGATCTTCTAAAAGACCAGAAGTAGTAAACGTTTTTTCACATCCTCCCCAATTACAAACATATTTTCGAGCTCTACGGTAGTGAGCGTACGCCTTCTCGTGAACCTATAATGATAATTACACGTTCTAGTCGCTTTTTACTTTTAAAGTTGGGATAGCTGATTCTATTCTCACAAAAATCCACAAAAGTTCAATTCCTTTACATACCAATAGCGTCTTTAAATGTTTGGAAATCCTGCAGAAACAACCCATCAAATCAGTACTAGAACAAATTACCCCTTATAGGCAACAAGATAATTCGTATCTACTATTTCATTTAGACTATTCACACGCCCATGAAATTCACTTCTATAATACTATATAATAAGTTTAATTTCAAAAAAAGGAAAAAATCAGAGATTACTTACGGTTTTTATATGCTTCTTCAGCAAGTACGTGGTACGATAATCACGACCACATAAGGCACACTGCATACCTAAGAACCAAGTATAGGATTCTATTTCTATACCAATTCTTATAAAATATACATATATATGCACCTATATGTATTTATACGTACATGTATATATATATATGTAGATATGTATATATATATATATATATATATACATATATAAAGATGTAGTGTGAGGCACTCATGCATGTGAAATATATTTATTAAAAATGTCAAGAACAATACGCCATATCTTTGAGTAGTTCCGAATTCCTTTCCCACATAAAGGCCCTTCAAAGAATCTGGCGGAAGTATTTTACGGCCGCCGCAGCCATCACGCTTCTTGCCACGCCTGCATATGATATAAGGCCCGGAATAACTGATAGTCTTAAGGTCTATCGGAGATACGTCGCACCGTAGTCGAGTCTAATCTCTCTAATCGCCTGCTAGTAAACTTTGCGACATGAGGCCTAGCGTTTTTTCAATGAGGATAGGCATAAACAATTGCCCAGGGCAGCACTTGGTACTGACACTTTTCTTTGGTTTCAGCAAATCGCAAGTTAGATTACTGCTCGCATAGAGGTCCTGAGACGAACATAAGCTTGCAACCGTTTGGATTGCACTCTATTCGAAGTGATAGGTGTTCGACGATAGGCTCCAGGATTAACGGCGCACGTTATTCGCGTGATGAACATACCTCGGCCTCGCAAAGCGGTACACGTTAGCAGGTGCTACAGTTACATATGCTCCAGCTAGGCTGCGTCGAAATTGTCTCAAACTGGCTTCCCTAGATTTGGCAGGTCACCTATATTCAGGCGAATCTTAACAGTTCATCGAAGTGTTTCAAGCAGAAACGCGATAGATGCACATTGACAGGTCCAAACGCACTGCTTACTTCCTCGGTCGCTTTTCAATTCGATTCCATGTTACTCTTCCCACCGCGAATGTGCATCTTCCTCTATCTTTCTTCAATAAAAAGTGTCAGAAAACTCGATGATAGCATAAACTGGTTTTGACGCAAGAAAAAATCTTAACAAAAGCGAAGACTTGTTTTCCAATCCAACACTTATGGGTAAGTATGAAAAATGGATCATCTCATGCATTGCAGTGAGACCTCACTTGTGTTAATATCTAACCGGATTGCACCACTAACCGATGCTATTGCCAAGCAATTTGCAATGAGACTTTGGAGCAGTACTAGAATCTTCTGGATCAGATAGGAATTCGACTGAATGCTCCAAAGCAGATATGGACTCAGATATACTTGACATCGCGCGCCCAGTATCACAACTTGAACTCGACAATTGATTTGAGAGACCTGCAACTAATTTTAAATTCATAACTTTGAACTAAGGCGACACAGTTCATTGCTTCCTCGACTATGAACTATGCTTTTCCCTTTTACGTTTTATGGCTTTGTCCACCACAACCCCTCCTGTAGACGTCATGATGCTTGGAAATATACATAATTTCCTATGAATAGATATTATTTTGATAAGAAGCAACATAGAACTTCGTTAATAGAACCTTACGAAAAAAGAAGTCAACAGGAAGAAACTCACATGTCTCATTGCCATTAATTTCCCGATCATTGTTAGATCGTTCGTGTACTGATAACAAGTGTCTATCGAAATCATGAAGCAAAATGCGCTCAGCGCAGTCCACAAATGGACATTGCATCCCAGTCTCATGAGCACTGAAAATGATTATACGAACCATGATAAAAAAGGTAGGAAATTAAATATTAAGACCGAGGGAATGGCTTCATTAAACCACACACACTTCATTACGTGTGAATTAAAATCCTGCAAGACATTCGTAACGAATCCACAACGTGAGCAATTGTAAATTGAATCCTCCGCCACAGAAGGCAGTCTTAAGCGTTCATTTCTCAAAGGCATCGATTCCAAACTGTCTGGATGAGCAGTTTCCAAATGGTTTCTGCAACAACTCAAAAAAAACTAGAATATGACAAACGGACATCAAATCAGACATACTTTAGACGCCACCGTGCTATACGTAAGTTACATCCACTCACAGTACAAGTCACACCATTACCGTGATTAACAATTGTATGCTTACGAACTTCAGCACGCACCTGAAATAAATCTATTCTCAGGATCGACTTTCTCTTAACCTCGGCATTGGAAAAATATCAATGTGTCGTTTTCTTGTTCAGCACTCGCGAGGTTTTTAAACAGCATACATTTACTTCCATAGAAAAACACAATACAATACAACGCTGGCTGACGTTTCGGCAGTATCGCTTTCTTCAAAGCCTGGAAGGGTATACTGATATACAATCTACTAGACCAAACGCTTCAATAACACTTACAAAAAGACGAAAAACCCTTTGGTAATTACATGATCAACAGCTTCTCGAAAAACTCACCGCTTTTTACGTGACTTCCAATGAGGAAGTTTAGAACAGCTGATTATAGTCTCATATGGTTGACGACTGCACCATCCCACATCAGAAATTGATGCGAACATACGGGGTCAGGTCGCCTATGACCGCCGGGCATTCATCCCTGCTGTTCATTGTAGGATTTTTGGCATTTATCCAAAAAGCCTCAAGAAGTTTTCGCGCTGGTGTTTTGGACTCCTGTGCGAGGATATTGACTTTTACTTCAAAATCGTCTCTGCTGTGCTTTTGTATCCTATGCGTGCCTAGTGGGGCGCTTCGTCTTAGTTTTCGTTTGCCATCTAGGTGTTCTTTTATACGGATACACAAAGGTCTGCCCGTTTAGCCAATATATTCATCTCCGCAATTGTTACACGAGATCAGGTATATCGTACCTGAACTCATGCAATCACCGTCCCTGCCGTAAGGGCAAATTACGCAATTTGTTGTTTCACACAGACGGTCATACAGGCGGTTGCGAACTAATTGGCGACGTAGAGTAGTCGGTGGT